CGAATTTCTTTGCTAGTCAATAAGTGTCCTATTTATCAATGAACTCTGTGTTTTTAAAAATCATATCAACCCAGATTATGTCTTCATGTTACAAATCAGTTCAGACACGGAAAGTTGATAACAGAAATTATTCTTGGTAGTACATATGTCGATTAGAAATTGACAAGCAAAATCCTTGGATCTAAGAGAATTCGAGAAAACAACTTAGCAATGTCTCTACACTATTCTATTATATCTAAATTTCTTTCATAATTCATAGTCACAAAATGAGCAAAATAAAAACAATGATTTATATGGTTTTGATCATCGCATTTTTGATGACATCCTGCAATGCAGGCAGCGCTCTAGAACGGCTGGTGCGACAGACACGAGGAATGTGTAATATTGCTTATGCTGCTTGTTGTCTTATTAATCATAACAGTGATGCTAAGTGTTGTGGTGATCGTCCATGTTGTCCTTGGGCTAATTGTGCCACTTATGCTGGACGTTAATGTTGATCTTTGCAGCATACCAGGTATGCTTTGCTAATATAATATTTCAATGATAACTTATCAAGAGAATATTAACGGCGTCTTATCATACTGAATTAACTTAACATATTTTCTTTGTAGAAAACATGATGCAAATGAATATTTAAACTGAAAAACATACAATCTTATCAAGTATTATTATGATCATTTCACACTATCGATTAGTTCTTTTTCTGATTATTATCGAATATTATGACCAGTTCGTTTCTCTTCTATCACGCTCAACTATTTTTCATGTTCTTTTTTCCGATTTTTCAATAAGGTTCAATTTTAATAAAATATGTGCATCGAAAACATGTCATTATTGCCTTACTTAGAATAAAATGAAACATTTAGAATCACTGTGAGTAGGAATGAGAATGAGCTGTAATCATTGGTTTCAAATCCACTCAACATTTGGAGTATGTGGCAAAGAATGTATCACCACAAAATTTTTAGCACCTGTGATGAAATCTTTCCGAACTCGTAGAGTACTGTCTGAGAACATGAATGGTGAAATGTGTAGTTCTTCATCTGATGCAGAGGAGATTAGGTGGCTTCATACTAACGGGTGGACCATAAATAATTGTCGCCTTTAGTGTTTTTAAGATTTCTCCTCTATTATTTCTGTGATTAAAACACTTATTTTTATCAAAGAATGGCACTTAAAATTTTTTTCAAACATGTTATGTGATTGGATTTGAAAATTACTTTAAAATATATATTAAATCACAATGAATTTTTGTTGGCTCATCGTTACTTTGATATTTATTTTTTATAGCCTATCCATTATGTAAAATGCAGCTTGGCAGAAGAGCCGATTTTTAAAAGATAAGAACAGTAATAAAACAGATATCTCGGTGTCTGCCGAATGACCGAAAATTTGTACAATAGATTTTTTTTCTTCAAATCAATATCTAAACGAAGCAAAACACCATAGTGGAAAAGATCATCCAATTCTACTTAGGGGTACCCAGAAGTAGTGGCGGTCGCATCTCAATTTCGTATAGAAGGCTTGATGGAATTTTCTGTTTTTATGAGGTGATAGAGAAAACGAAGCTCTATTTTTCTGTGTTATTTCATCCCTATTCAGCTGGTATCATAATAATGAAATTTCGATAAAAACTGTTTTTGTGTAAAACTTCACTAACGGGTGAAACAGATTAAATNGACAGCGAATACAACCATCGAATCATCCGAATTTAGCTGATTCTTACAATAACCTCGGTGTGGTATACACTAAGATGCAAGATTACTCAAAAGCGCTTTCATTCTTGAAAAAAGGACTTGAAATTCGACAAGAAACGCAACATCTGAATCAGCTAAATTTAGCGGATTCTTACAACAACATTGCTTGGGTTCATTATAAAATAGCAAAATATCCGGAAGCAGTTAAATATCAGAAGCATGCAGTCAAAATGGGAGAAGCTTCATTGCCTTCAGATCATCCTCGTCTACTTTTCTGGAAGCAGAGGCTCAAAACAATGCAGGTCAAATCATCCAATGGCCAGAACTTGGATCCAGATTTCATCGGAATCCGATGAAAACCGGAGGAATAACCTCAGAACTTCCTGATATTCAGTCGAGTCCTACTCTTGGACTCCTGGTCACTACAGTCCCGGACACTTCCGATAGAATTCTGTCGGTGCCAAGATTATCAGACAGCATCTGATGGATAAGCTTCTATCTGTAAATAGAATAAAAATGCTGAATAAATATGAACAAATAAAGTTTCTAACATATATGCGGGTGTAGTGTGGAGTCTGTGAAGAGAACAAACACATCCGCACCCACATACAATGGGACCATTTTTATTTTTTATGTAGACATGGTACTTAGGGCAGTCCAAAAGTAGTGGCGGAGGTACTTTATTTTCTTACAGGAAGCTTTAAAAAAAATTCTTTTTTTATGAACAGATAGAGCGTCTTTCGCTCTATTTTTCTATGTTATTTGATTACTATTCAACTGGTATCATAATAATAAAATTTCGATAAGATCTGTTTCGTTCGCATGTTTGCTGGTAGCCTGAACATGTATGCTCGTGAGTATTGTTTTGAATAAAGTTTGATATAAACAAGGTAGAGAACTGCAGTTTTCACTGTCAGAAAGAAGAGATGAAGATGCATCGAACCATGTATTACTGATTTTTCTAACTTGTTTTTTATAAGATTTTCAGTTGACCTTCTAAAGAGCAAACCTATCCTGTGAACTGTTTACAGTGAATTTTCAATAATAAGGTTCTCATTCAAATGGCTAATTGCAGATATACAAAGTGCGAAAGACTCAGATGTTTAAGTTCAACTATTTTGAGATAATACGTATTCCAGACGGACGTCTACTACGATTTTTTATCGATTTTTTTGCTTTTTTCTTTTTTCATAAAACAGCATTTTCCCGACGGTTAGAGAATTGAATGAAAAAACTTCAAAAATAATATTAGGAAAATCAGTAATATATGGTTCGATGCATCGTCATCTCCTCTTTCCAACGGTGAAAACCGCAGTTCTCTATCCTGTTTCTATCAAACTTTATTCAAAAAGTACTCACGAGCATTCATGCTACCAGCACATATGCGAAGAAAACAGATGTTATCGAAATTTTATTATTATGATACCAGTTGAATAGTGATCAAATAGCATAGAAAAATAGAGCGAAAGACGCTCTATCTGTTCATAAAAAAAGACATTTTTTTAAAGCTTTCTGTAAGAAAATAAAGTAAATCCGCCACTACTTTTGGACTGCCCTAAGTATTTTTTCCCTCACACTGACGTCATTCGGCATAATATTGCTTCCGTTTTTATGAGTATTAATTCATAAAGAGTAGTATTCAGACAATCAAATACATTTGTGCGAGTTAATACATTGAACCTTTACAATGCACAATAATAGATATTCAGATCAATTTCTTATTATTGTGGGAGCTTTCAAACAAAAATACATATTTGGAAAAATACAATCGTTCATGTTTTTTTTCATAGGCTTTATGTTGAATAATACTCATTAACTGAAATAATTTAAGTAGCAAAGGTAGAAGAAAGATATAGATTATCTGATCATGATTACTTCTTGTAGCATGTAAAATCCAAATAAAAATCATCACTTGCAATCCGCTAAGAAAACAATGATGTTGAATAAAATTCATAATTATTTCGCTGAAACTAGTGATTTACTTATTTGTGAAAATAAGTAAATTTTCATAGTAGTTAGTTATGTTTTTCGATGATATTTTCAAGATCCTCGCCTTCTTCTTTCTTGACCACGTGATTACCAAATAGTTGTATGTCGATTTCGATATCATTCTTAAGAATTAGAACAAAACTTAACTTTTACATTCTAATATTAAATGTCTCGTACATTGTGACACAATGTACAAGATATTCAACTACGATTACCATAGATTTCTTTAAGCGAAACTGCGATACATTCTAATTGTGATATTCAAATCTAGTCGTTGTCACAACTACCGTTTTTTCGGTGGAAACGAATATTTAAGAATTTTCCAGTATAATTCTATTTGGTAACACTTATTCTTCGATCCCAACACAATGGAATCTTATAAGGTCAAACTGTCTCGAGTCAATTTGATCTTGATCAGATCGCTTCGAGAAAGTCCATATTCGTCCGCCGATCGATTTCTTAACATGTTCTCAAAAGATGACTCATTGAGATATGACTTAGGAAATTAGCTATATCTGAAAATTAATAAGTTCACTATGTTCAAATGACTCGGTTATATATAGCTGTGAGTATACAGAACGGTGAATGAATGTGTATCAGATAGACTATGAATCATAGTCAATGACATCCATAATCTGATAAATTTTCGTGGTAATCTATGTAACAAAAGCGACAAAAAAATCTGATTTCAATCGATTATTTTCTGATTAAAAATCGATTAAGATGGCACGATTTTCATCAGATTTTCCGATTTTAATCGGTTTTACTTGCTATCACTATAAAACCCGTTTTTCTCCAATTTTAACTTAGAAATTCTAATTTTCTATTATGTTTTCTGACTCCTCACGTCGACAAATGGTAGGGGTAGTACTAGCCCTATGTCCGATACACTTCTACATAAGACACCAATTCATACTTAATCGAGTAAGCCTAAACACCGATAATTTAGATTAAATTCAATTAAAATCGATTAAAATCAGATATTTTCGTCGTTTTTTACATGGGTAAAATCTGCGACACTATCACGGGCGGCACGTTTTATTTAGTTGTACCGTCTTTTACCCTCCGCATGACTTATTGCGATATTTTCGTTCCATTTTCACAAGAAAGTGCAAATAAATGCACTTGGTACTTGCCAACTAAGTAAAAAAAACATAACAGGCCAACCAATATCTACTGACACATTATGCGCATTTGCTGTTAGTATCATTACGATGATTTATAGACTCTATGATATAGCATATATCTATATGATTTGATCTGGCAAGCACAATACAAGTGGAGAAAGATAAAAAATAGGAGACTTTTACCGCTGACGAGATAAAAGAGAGACGATATTCAAACTCACATGTATAATATGCGGGGAGTGCGAATGATGACGTTGGCGGACGACTTCAAATAAAGAAACGAATAGAAAAAAAAGAAATACGATGGACATGCATAGAAAGGTACAGGCAAGCAGTAAACATAACACTTTCAACGTCATAACCAAAGAGTCACCACGCATATAAACACACGCACACTTACACGAACATCTCTTCATGTCCATCAAACATACTTATTTGGATAGAAACTTACAAGGTAATCAATCTGGTCATATTATTCATAGTTATAACACGACAAATCAAGTGAAAAACTGTTCAGAAAACTTATTTTCGTAATTTCTATTAGACTAGAAGCTTAAAATTCACATGTCTTTTTTTATTTTATTATACTTATTTAAAATTCATCTTTCTAGTTACAGTCTTATTTTTTGATGGTTTAACCACTACTTTTACGTCGCGTGAACATGTATTGAATCCGAG